GCACATATTTTTAATTGGATCCAAATTTTCTACCTGTTCTTTTGTTTCTCAGGCACACTTTTTTTATTTTTCTTGGGTGGGATATGTTATTATCACATCTTTAATTATTAATGTTATATTTTTTATCTTAATTGATTATTATATTTTTTAATTTATTAAGAAATAAAAAAATATAAATTTTGGAAAAATGTGTAATGTAAGGATGTAATAGATAATTACATTAAAAAGATGTGACATTAACTATTTAGAGTGTGACATTAACTATTTAGAGTGTGACAATGATCTCTAGACCTGGCAATTTTTTACCAAACCCATTAACCCGTCCATTACCCGCCCGTTTAAAACGGGTTAGGGTCATATATTTATGACTCGTAACCCGTTAATGACCCGTTAAGAGAACCCGACGGGTCACGGGTCAATAACGGGTTGACCCATCGAGTTAATGGGTTTGACCCGTTTACCCGTCTAAAAATTAAAAAAATTTTAATTTATTATTTATTTATTTTATTTTTCAATTCTCAATCCCACCTAAATCTCTAATAATTGACTAATTTTTTCTAATTAGCTAATTGATTCTCTTAACTCATTATCTTCTAGAAGTAAAAATAATCTCACTCCACTTATGACTCACCTCCCGACCTTTCTTATTCTTGCTTGTCCTAATACTCTCTAAAAGTCTAACTCTTTAAAGTTCAAACTCTTCTCATATTCTTCAACCTCCATAGTTCATACAACCTTCAACTTTCAAGTTTCGACTCCACATTTTCTCTTTAGTCATTAACATTATCTCAAACTTAGATTTTAGTCTCCCTAAGGCACCATCGCGTCCACTTAGCCCTTTCATTTTTTCTCCTTCGAGTTTGACAAGTGCTCTCTTTGCCATCAACTTTTCTCTTTAAAGCTTTTACGGTAAGTTGTTTACTTATTTATGCTTTTTAGTTTTCTTTCCATTCCAAGTAAAAATTCTACTTGATCTTGTCCTTTGCTTAGATGCATTTAATTGATTGATTCTTTGAAAGCAACGACCAGAACAAATATGTTCCAATGGGGTTTGTGCTTTTTGGTTGTCATGCTACAACTTTTTTTTTTCTTTTTTTGCTATTGAGATTTACAAGTGTGTGGTGTTCTTGAATTTGATTAACGTTGTTCTTTGAAGGGAAGTGAAGAAGATGATTCTAAAGAACTATAAATATGTATACATTAAATTAATGGGAAAAAAATTCTTTTTATACGATGTTGAATTTCTTTTTGAAATCTTTTGAATAATTTTCTTTAAATAATAATAGATACAAATTATAGAGAAAAAAAAAAGAAAAAAAATTTAATTGGGTCAACTCGTGGGTTGACCTGTGACCCGTGACCCGTGATGGGCAAGTTATGGTTTGCCTTCATTGACCTGTGACCCGTTTTGACCCGTTACTCGTTCTAACCCGACCCTAGCTCGACCCAACCCACCCGTTTGCCAGGTCTAAATCTCACCTTTTTTTTTTTATAAGGCATTTATTTAAAGTGAATAGTACATTGGTAAAAAAAAAAAAAAGAATTAAGGGTGCATTTATTTTATATTTTTGCCATTACTTTACATAGAAAATATGAAAATTAACTTTAGCTTTATCAACCATAAATCATTTTAAATGGTATTGATGTTGAAAATAAAGTTTACTTTAATAATTTTTTATACTGTCAATGAAAAAGTGTAATAAAGGTACAGATTAAAAAAATAAAAAAAATACATAATATTAAACAACTAGAGTATGTACATTTTTTCATGGAGAGCGACGTATCCCTCTATCAATCATCATAACACTACTTATATCGCAGGGATTGAACGTAAAATAGAACCCTTTTTAGCTGAGTTCTTAACAATTCTTCTTCAAATATATACTACCTTGCTTAAGAAACACTCTATCTTCATTTTTCCTTGAAAGGATTCTTGCTTAGACATACTTGGAGAGGGAAAAAGTTGATGATGGCAGGAGAAATTGAATCCATGGCATCTAACATGAGGAGCAAGATGAGGGGTGATACTAAAAGTTCATCCACACCTTGCATCTTCAGGATTCCCAGCATACTTCGCAGGCACAATAAGGAAGCATACATCCCCAACGCGTTTTCGATCGGGCCTTTTCACCATGGCGAGAAACATCTTGAAGACAAAGAGAAGATCAAGTTTGACTACTTACTAGGCCTTCTAGACAGATATGGTGATCTGGAGGCAACACTGATGAAATGCATCAGAGAGATCACAAATTATGAAACAAAAGCCCGAGAGTGCTATGCAGAAGAAATTCTTATGAGCAAACAGGCGTTCATTGAAATGTTGGTGCTTGATGGCTGCTTCATTGTTGAACTGTTCAGGAAGGATGCTGGAGAGGTTAGGAAAATTGAAAATGATCCCATTTTCTCTACTTCCTGTATGCTTCAGTTCTTACACCATGACTTGATTTTGCTAGAAAATCAAATACCCTGGTTTGTGCTTGAGCTTCTGTTTAGCTTAACAAGTGATTCGTCTGAAACCAAGTCCCTACTTCAACTCACCTTGGATTTCTTCGAGAACATTTTTTCATCTGAGAAATCTCCCATACAACTAGATCTCTTCGCCAATCAAGAAATCCAGCACATTCTTGATTTGATAAGAAGTTCTTTGGTGTTGCCACTTGGAGAGCAGCAAGGCCAAGAAGAGTCACCTGTATCATGGCGGCCTATTCCTTCTGCCACCAGCATCAAAGAATCTGGAATCATTTTCAGGAAAGTGAGATCACGTAGCATCCTGGATGTCAAATTTAGGAGAGGCACTCTGGAAATGTCACCAATTCTCATCCAAGAAACCGTTGAACCTGCCTTCCGAAATCTGATCAGCTATGAGCAATGTTATCCAAACTGTCCTCCCAGAGTTACAAGCTATGCTATACTCTTGGACAACCTTATCAACAATGAAGGGGACATGGAAGAACTCAGCAAGAGTGGGATTCTTATCAACTGGCTTAACCCACATGACACGACACAGTTCTTTAAGATGCTATACCATGATGCTTTTTTGAAAGAGTTTCATTACCAGAAGCTTTGCTGGGAAGTGAATGAATATCAGCAGAAATTCTGGCCTAAATGGCGAGCTTTTTATACCCGCAATTATTTTGCGAAGCCATGGGCCATTGTTTCTCAGATTGTTGCTGCTATCGTTCTCATCCTAGCGTTCTTGCAAACCATTTATTCCATGAAGTGCTGATAAAAAAAAAAAAAAAGTATTCCATGAAGTGATCAATACTTGTTTTAATACCTGTCATATCTTGTTGAGACACAATAAAAATTGTCATGAGTTAGTGATATGTAATATTCGTGATCTGGGGACTCTTTACTTTCAATGAATCTGTTATCAAGAATTTGGTTAGAATATAAAGTTTTCTCAATCTCACAGCCAGGCATTTTGTCAAACACCATGCAAGCAACATTAGCTTTACTAAAGCTCACAACAATGCTGGGAAAGTGCCTCAACCAATTTACTAGATCAAACATCACCAATCTTAGTTTCCATGGTACCCTTCCACTACACGGATGTAGTCACTAATTCAAAACTTAGCATTAAGGGTGAGATGGGTTTTACCATGATCAGTTTTCGGTTCCATCTTGTATCAATTTCTCCTGTGTGCTTACTTGTAGGCATATTAAATACTTATAGAAACAGTAGAATGTTAGACATCTATACAAAATAAATAAATCCTTAGTTACAAGCATCAAGCCTCAGATACCATTCTAGGCATACCTCATACTTGAACAGAGCAACAACCTCCTGGAAATGCTTTGCATTAAAGAAAAATTAAACTGCATGATTTGGATTGAGATCTCTAACTTGAGAATTTTTTATTCAAATTGTTGGATTGTTCCCTTAAAAACATTAATGTCATGTATAATTTGTTGAAGAATAAAGCAAAGAATAAAGGACTGGAATCTCAATTCTAAGGTGGGAGAGGAATTTTGTGCTTTTTGGGTTTTCTTGGTGGAAAGTGAAATCAGTTAACATTATATATACTTCTTCTATTCACATTTCTACTTTAAATCAGAAGGCAAAACCAATCATTCATAATTTAAGACCTTAATGAGCGAATAGCGAAAACACTTTTGTTGTGTGGCTAAGATTTAAAAAATATAAAATAAAAGTGAAGGATTAAACAGAATTTGGAATCCATTTTTGTTGAATTGAAAATAAATGAAATTAAAGCAATCGTCAGTTCGTCACCTTGGATCTATATATACATATATGCGTTCTCTTGTGCATGCTGTAAACCAAAACCGAAACACATCCTTAATATCTAGCCTTGATGTTTATGGGGAATTATTATCCTGGTAGCCCTTACCCTTCAACTCTCCCCCTTATCAAGGAAGCCCTTGCTCCTTCCATCTTCAGTCATTTCAGGACAGTCCTAAACCCTTCAACCCTTTACCATAACCGTAAGTGTTATTGTTGAAGTGTGTTTCCCTTGCGAGTTTCCCTTGTGAGTGTGAAGAACTAAGATTCTACATAAAAAAAATACAAAAAGAAATAGTGACTTATATATGTGAAGACCTATGAAACTGATA